GACAGGTGTTATGACATGTTTATGACAGTGTCATGTCAGTCTTATTCACCCCCCTTCAAATAAAGTGTTACCGTTTGTTTTTCATTCAGTGGTTAGAAAATCAAGAAACTTTACTCAAGAGCAGAAATACTTCAAAATAAAGTTACTTGATTAAATATACTCCTAAAAGTTTTTTTTTTTTTCAAAAAAGTTACTCAAGTAGTTGTAAATGAATAAATATAGGTAGTTACTATCCAACTTTGTTGCTGTCAAACCATAAGGAATATTATAAAACCATTACTAAATAACCTGAAGTTCATCTAGGATCATTCAGTTAAATCAATGCTTCTGCATTTTGCTTCAGTTTCTGTTCAATAAATAATAAAGTGGAATTATTCATCCAAGGCTGGAGTTGCTTTAAATCACAATAAACACTCAATTTGACTGTTTTTGATGTATTTTTTGTATAAGTGGTAAGCTCAATGCCTAAAAAAAATCAGTTTTTGAGATGTATAATGTGTTCAAAAATGTTATTTTGAAGCTATCAGACATTTAACCAATCGGTTGTGAAGCTATGTTTTAGCTTCTGAGATGTTTGTTTACTTAATTTAGTTTTAATGTTTGCCATTTGTATCAGCGGTGAAAGACGACGCAGACAGCATGAACTAGTTTCCGAGCCTTCAGAAACTCCCACAGCTCATCGTCTTCCTACAGAATCTAAATTTACATTCCTCCACTTAACATCCAAGTAACGTTTCAAATAAGCATGAGTCAAAACATTACTCATGGGTCGGAAATATCCTGAACTGCCACCAGTTCCTCCCTGATCTGAAACAGTGTGAATCTCAACCCTATTAGAGATTCAAGTTCAGGAAAAAAAAAAAAAACCCGGCAGATTTGATGCCACATCGTTACATCATTGAAATTCCTCTTCCAGCAAGTTTTCCCAAAGATTTGCTGAGGATAAAATCACAAGCTGAATTTATTTACACGGTTTTAATCAAGTTGTTTTGCGAAGTGAATGAAATCCTGACCAGATGTCTGATGGCATCAAATTGGGGTTACACAGTTTTCAGAGCAAAATATTAACATCTAAAAATATTAAAGACCAGGCAGTTTGTGTGTGTTGCTATCAAACTATGTGAGGATTAAAATAAATAGTGGAAAGATTAATAAATTAAAGCTTAGTTTTTATACATTTGGTCTGCTGTATGAAAACAGTTTTTCTGTTTGCTTTGGTATTTTGCTGTAAATCCAATCTAAGATCATAAAAAATACAATTAAAATAAAGCTATAAAATTACAATAATATTGTCATACAAGAATAAAGTCATAAAACTAGAAGCATAATACTGACCTCTATTCTTGTCATTGACTAATCTCAAAACACTGACTTTATTCTCATTCTCGCAACTTTATTCTTATTTGAAATGTTTCTTTGTAATACTTCTCTAATACTTCGTCATACTGGTGACATCACTTAGGGTGTAACTTTTTTCCTGTTTATTTGCTTATTTTTAATCAAATTTTGTTTTCATTCCTGATGACTTTTATTTTGTAGACTTGCAGAAAATGATTCCAGGAAAACTGGTGACAATAAACATTAAAGGATAAAGATGAGCTGGAATAATCACATTTCATTAATAAAGTCTCTTGGTGATCATTTTAGGAGTCACTGGAGTTAAACTAACTTAAATACACTGCTTGGATATTTAGCCTTTTATTGGCTTTACAAATCAATCATGATCAATAAAAATGGTGTATTTTGCCAAAAAACAACTTTTAATGTCAAAGTGAAAACTGATTTCCACAAGTAAATAAAAATGTTCACATGAAATAAGTGACCGTTCCAGTAGCTTTAGCTGGACGCTTTGAGTCGTTGCTGCTCTAATTACCTGGCCTGCTGCAGTGAAGCCCCTGACTTACACGTCTCAATAACCTTTTCTCTGATTGGTTGGACAGTTTTCCATGGTTTAATAGTGTCCAGGAATACTGATTAGCCAGGTCATGGACCTTCCAGAACCAGGCATCTTTAAAACTGCAATCAGGTGATCTCCACCAGCACCAGCAGGCTGGAGGGCTGTTGAATTAGGAGCTGAATATTTAAGCAATCACTTGTTTCATGTTAGATATCTTTATTTGTGAGTTTCCACTTTGACAGTTTTTTTTTTTTGGTAAATATTTTTGTCAAAAAAGCCAAATTTTGTTGATCCTGACTGATTTATAAAAGCAATAAAATGATTAAATATGTTAGGGGGTCGATGAACTTCTACATTTATGCATCCAGCATTTAATCCTGATCTTTACCTCAGCTTTGATTGATTCATGTTGGTTGAAATGTTTGTATTGTTAGTTCTCCATTTTAAGCTTTAATTAATTGCTAAAATGTTATTTTTTTAGTAACTGACCCATTTTTCACAGATCAGAGATGGAAGCGCCAAACTCTGGCCAACTGATGAGTGAATCTCCGGTTGTCCAAAGGAATGAAACGGCCATTTTTATTCAGTGTTCGTCTTTCTTCATTTCAGACTCCAGTTGGAGTTAAATTTAAATCAACTGAAAGATTAAAAGTATAAAAATATGGAACCTGGAAAAAATAAAAACGGCAAAGATGGATAGATGGAAAGATGGGTAAAGCGATGGATGGACGGATGGATTATTGTTTGGATGGAAAAAAATGGATGGATGGATGGATGGATGGATGGATGGATGGATGGATGGATGGATGGATGGATGGATGGATGGATGGAGGTCTGATTTTTTGGGTGAAACATTTGAGTTTCTCAACGCTGGAATTGGATCTTGCATGTGAAAATGGAGCGACCCGGTTCTGACCCATCACCAGTTTAGAGCCCAGAACAGAACAGAACCAGAGTCAATCTGGACCCGGAACCACTGCAGCTGAAAAATTCATCCCACCAAACAAAACTTCAACTTCGGCAACAATTCTGATTCCAGACAAAACCTCGATCTTTGGCAGCAAGTTTCCAAACTCGACAAGAGCAATTTGCCCTCCAGGGCAACAACGGGGACAACTTCCTGTTCCTGTTTGCTTCTGTTTTATCTGAAGGGGGGCAGATTGCTCCTGTAGATGTCAGTCTGAGATTACAGCCTACACACTCACTGCTGAGGTTATATAACACACACACGCACACACACACACGCGCGGGACGGTGAAGTGATGCTGGAGGAAACAGGAAGAGGAAATAAGAGGGAGAAAAATCAAAAAGAGAAGGAGATGAAATAAATGATTGAGGAGGAAAACTGGAAAAATGAATGAGGATGGAGGGAAAAGGAAAATGAAACCCGGAGAGTTTGGATGGAGAACGACAGAACAGAAAGAGGTGAAAAGAAATAAAAACAGAAATAAACGAAACAAAAATGAAGAGATGGAGAAAGAAAACTCGCAGAAAAGAAGAATGAAAACAGAAAAATGTTCAGAAAATGTAGTTTTAAAGTTAGAGAGCGACAGCAGGTGAGTGGCGCACACACACCAACACGCCCACACACGCGCGCGCACACACACGCACACACACACACACACACACAGTATGAGGGGAAAACATGCAGAAAGCTGCAGAGACTCACCCTGAAGATCAGCGACCAGCTCTCCATGATGTAAAAACTGAACATAAAAAAAAACAAAACGAGAGATGGAGAGAAGAACCGAGGAGGAGGAGGAGAGGAAGAGGTGATGGAGGATGGAGAAAAGAAGAGGAAGAGGAGGTGGAGTATCCGGAGACGTGGAGGGAGAGGAGAAGAAGAAGAAGTGGGAGAGGCAGGACGAGTGGAGGGCTGCTAGGTTCAGCCCACACACTGCCAGCATGACACACACTCTCTGTGGCTCTGCGAGTGTGTGTGTGTGTGTGTGTGTGTGCATGTGCACGTCGTCTCCCACTCCAATGCGTGGGTTAGAAAACACACCTCTCTCTTTCTCTCCCTCTTTTTTTTTTGCTGTAAGCTGGAGAGAGAGAGAGAGAAAAAGACAGAGGAAGGGGGAGAGGAGCGGAGGAGCGGCCCCGTCACCATGGCAACGGTGCAACCGGGATTCAGGTTCCAGCCAGCATCAGCATCAGCACCACAAACACTGGCGGCGGCGGCATCACCATCACAAACCTGATCTAAAGATTTATTCGTCCGAAACACAAAACGAAACGTTTCAGATTCAAAGATTCTTTCAGCTTCCACCAATCGGATCGCACGTGGCCGGAGTCACGTGACTCAGAGGTGTTTTCCACATGTCAACCTTCCCACACCCCCATCCTTTCTGCGCTGCAGTGATGAGGCGCCGTACTGTACAACGCCTCCATTCATGCCGCTGCCTGCAGCAACTACAGTGTTCAGACTGAAGGAGCAGAAATTCATCAAAAGTTCATCTATTCCAGAAACTCGGCTCAAAAATCAAGCTGGTACGTATATTTATTACACCTAATATAACACAAAATCTCAGAAAATCAGAATATCATTTAAAACCAATAAAAAAAGATTTTTAAGGCTGAAATGTTGCCTGAAAAAGTTAAGTGGAAGGAAAAAATATGGTAGAAAACGGATAAGAGGACACAGAGGACACAGAGATTCAGATCTATTTTCAAGGTAAGTTTTCAAACGCTCCACAGATTAGAAACAAAAACAACACAAAAGAACTGAAAAAAGGCTGTTTCAATTTGCCATTATATGATATATATATGTAATGATAATTATCGGTTATTAACTATTAAAAATGTCTTGTGAGAGTATTCTACAAAGTTTTATGTTTTGAGATGTTTCTCATAAACCCTAAACATCTGACTGGCCTGAGATCAAAACACTAATTTACCAAAAAAATTCCCCAATTTCAATAATCTTGTTTAATATATAAAATATAAAACGATCTAGAAGTCACTGAGCCACTAGGGACAATAAATATTAATAATCCAAACAAATCATGTGAAGTAAATAACCTTCCTGCTTAAATGTTAAAACACAAAATATACAAAGAAAGTTACAAAAAGAATTTCTAAAAATGTTGTTTCTCACTGCAGTTCTTTATAACCACTTCAACTAATTCATAATGCAGTAAAGCAGGAAATCCATCTTTAATGCTGGTTTAAATATCAAAAACATTTCCGTATTTTTACCAAAGGAATCTTTATTACTGCTTCACAGAAATCTATTTGGACTTTTAGAGCTGAACTGAAATCAGTTTAATAATTAATACAAATGTTTTGGTGCAGTAGCTAAGAAACGCAAAATATAACCTGAGTAAAAGTTAATGAGGTTTAGAGGCTGAAAAGCAAAACGCTGGACAGAATCTGACTACAGCTGACAGAGAGAAGGAAAGAAGGAAAACCAGACAGGCAAAAGAAAAACAAACTGAAAGAATGACAAAGAGAAACAAAAACAGAAACAACGAGAAAACAGATGGAAAATCAGAAAAAAAGAAAATCACAGAAAGACAGAAACAGAAAAAGTCAAAAGTAGAAAAAGACAGAAAGAAAAACAGACAAAAAACAGTCAAAGATCGAAAGAATGACCAACAAAAAGACAGAAATAACAGGTGTAAAAGCAGAGAGAAAGAAAGGAAGGCAGGAAAAAGAAAAAACAGAAAGAACAGGTAAAAAGAATAAAAAAAAGACTAAGAAAAACAGACAGAAAAACTAGCCGACAAATGTAAAGACAGAAAGAAAGGAAACCAGACAAAGAGAAAGAGAGAGAAATGGAAAGAAAGAATGGAGAAAAAAACCAGAGAAATAAAAACAGATGGAAAGACAAACAGAAAGAAAGAGACAGAAAACTGGACAGAAAGAACCGAGTTTAAATCAGTTTGTCTGTGATCAGATATCAGTGATAGATAATGTCTGATATCTGATCAGATGTTCAGACTGAAAGAGGTTCAATCATAACTTCTCTTAAACTCCATGTTGGTAAATGAGCCGTTTACTTTCTTTGCTGGCTGCTGTGATGCCTGTCTGAAATGACAGTTTCAGCACAAAGTGAGGGAAACAAACATCCACTCAGATGATCGCTCTGCTGCTGAGGGATCAGACGTGACTCATCAGCTAAACTGTAATCTTCAGCTTCCCTCCTCTACTTCTGCCGATACCGTTTGTAGATGAGAACGGACTTAAAATCTGCTTTTGGTGAATAAACAGCGGGAGCAGATGGAGTTTAAATGTTCTGAATGGGTTCGTCATCCGGTTACATAAGGACGCTCCGCAGCTTCTGCTGCTTCAGACTGCAGCATATTTCTGTGGGATAACATTCCCAATGTGTCAGATTAAAGACTTTATTAATGCAGCGAGCCGGCCAAAAACACAACGAGCCCATGGTCCAATCACAGCTCAGCGTGGAGTACAACCTGATGGCGTCATCAAGGAGGAGGAGCCTGTTTACTAGTCAATTTATCAATTATTATAAAGAAATATCACATTCTACAGATTTTCCTTTAACCACTTAAACTTTTTCACACAATATTTGAAATATATTAAATGATTATAGTTCATTTTTTTAAAATCAGAAAATTTTTAAAATTTCATTTTATTGTTTAAATGTACATAAATTGAACCAGATGAAGCTAAAACCAAGTCATATTTACAGAGAGGTGTTTTTATCTTAAATGTGAAATGTATATATATTTTATACAGTTTTCAATTACTGCTCTGAATATTTTAGTTTTTTGAGTCTGTATACTCCAGTCAATTAATTGATTAGTAAATTAGTTAACTATTTCAATAATCGATTTATTGCGTTTAATCCAATTAATTGTTTCAGCCCTAATGCAGATCAACACAAAGTAGTGCAGAAATGAAGAGGTGGGAAATTATGTGTAATTTTTAATACTTATGAAGATCTGAAAAGTGTGGTGTGCATTTTATAACCACCTCATGTTATAAGTTTATAACTCAGTTATCTTTGAACATCTAGAGTCAGAAAGTTTCATTTCTTCTCTGCAACAGACTGTAGGGAATGCAAGGTGGATTTACAGTAAAGGAGACTGGGTACAAATGCAAGCCGCACTTCTGAGATTTTCATTTCTAAATAAAAATTGACAACTGTGTACTATAAGTTTTATTTCACAGTTATCCACTACTTTGTGTTGGTGAATAACAAGAAATCTCAAAATAAAATAAAATAAAATGTTGTAATGTAGAAAGGCTGACGGGGTGTGAAACCTTCTGGCTTTTTATACACGAACATTCAGTTTTTTCCAGTTGAAACTTTTTCCACTGTGTAGGATGGAAAGCTTTGACGATTGTGGAATTACAGCGCCCCCTGTTGGATTGAAGGTTATCGAACAATAAAATTTAGTCAATTTAGATCGAGATTAATCCAAAAACCTACACAGATTTTAGTTTGCGTTCACTTTCATACAAAAATGCCCATTAAAAGCTTCACTTTTAATTACATTTAACCAGATAGTTTTTCAATCTAATTCATTTATTGCAGTTCTAGTTTGACTCTGCATCACTTGTTCATAATTGTATGGCACAACAACAAATCCCCAGCAGGAAGGAGATCATTTTAAATTTCTATTCAGTAGAAATCAAACTGAATATTTATAAACATGACACAAACTGGAAAAAAATCCAGAATGAATCCAGAAACGTTTATTTAGAAAAAGAAACCCCGACATTATCTGAATGTTTCCTCCTAATTTTTACAGATCATCACACACAAAACTAACATTTTACTGAAACTCTTAGCTACTTTGTTCACTGTAATCTGGTTACAATGTAACTGTAATGCTTTAAGCCTCTTTCTGTCCCTGCAGAATCAGGTCCATGTACGCTCCGGTCACCAGATGGTCCTCTGAGACGCCCAGCTGCTCCATCAACTCCACGGCCACCTGTGAAACAGGAAGCAAAGCAGGTTTTCATCCTCTGGAAACAGGAAGTGTTGCAGCAAAAATGTGCTGAGATGCATCTAATATTTATTTTAAAAAATCTAAATCTCATGCTGAAGATGATTCTGCATGAACAGCAGGAAAGAGAAATAAAAGCAAGACAAATATCTGAACACATTCCTACAAAAGTAGGAATAATTAAATATTTTAGATATCCAAACCCACTTAAATCTTTTATACATTAGAAATATATTAAAATATGCATTAAAAAATTACATTTTACAGCATAAAATGCAATGAAATATGTGAATGGTTGCTCATTTGTAGAAAAAGATGCATGAAAAGCTCGACCTTTTCTGTTTGACTTAACATCTATACAGTGTAGAGCTGATCGATTAATTAATTGATTAATAATTGGATAGCAAAAGGTGATTAATTTAAGATTTTTTTCAGAATTTGAACCAAGTAACAAGTAACTTTTTAGCAAGATACAGAAGCTTGTTTTGAGTGAATTATTCCTTAATATTGATGAAAAAGCTCTAGTTTCATTGTCAGATTATTTCACTTAAAACATGGGAAAAAATGTCTTGTTATAAGTAAAATAATCTGAAAATGTTTAGGTAATTATTTACTGAAAACAAGCTCATATTTTTTGGTGAAAAGTTGCTTTTAAGTTAGGTTTTAATTATTTAAAGTGATCTAAGATATTTGCACTAAAACTAGACCAAAAATACTTGGTAAGATTTTGTGTTTTTCAAAGTTCTTGAAACCTCTTTGCTTTTATAAATGTTGGGTTACTTTAATAAAGAGAAATAATCTCTGCTTCTCCCTGATTGTCATCATGAGCTCAATACTCATCCTGCTACATTTTAC